GAGCCGTCCGAAGTCATTCCCGCCCGTCTGTAAGCAACTTGTGATCTTATCAGCAGGGAGCTTGCTACAAATAGGTCTGATTGACAGAAGGGAAGAAGAAAGCTAGAGGAGGCACTTCCAGCTTGGAACCAGGGCCTTTCATGTAGCAAGGTGACCCTGCTTTAAAATGAAGAATTAATGATGTTCCAGCACTCCTTTCAGCCCCCTCCCCTTTTTGCCACTCGAAATATCCTATTAAATGTTAATTCCTCAGGAATTCAGCAACTCCGCTCTTGTGTCCCCTCTGATGCATCTTTAAACTATTGGGCTACAACAGCCGAAAGGGAAATCGATCTGAAATGAAGATGCCATACATATTCTGTAGGCCTTTGATGCTTAATTAGATAAACCAAGGGAGAGATTGAAAGAAGGGTAATTAAAACCAGAGTGCTTTCGTTAATACACCATGCAATTAAGCCGCATCTGAGGCAGTAGACCTCTGGGTTCCCCCAAGAGCCAAGGCGAAGGACCTTAGCAAAAGCAATGCTGGCCAATTTTAAACTTCTCCCACTGGGATGCACCCAGAAGATGGTGTGTTGCTTGCATACTCTTTCACTATCTCTTCTTCTGCATCTTTGTTAGACGCAGAAAAGGCACAAGTGACTTCCTACAAGAAGGCCTCTCCGACTGCCTCTCAACCTCACCTCATCCAAAGATCAGCAGCAGTTTTATCTTATTCACTTACTTATTTAAAACATGTACACCCTGTCCTTATCCAGGCAGATCTCAAGACGATGTACCCTGTCCCTTAGGGGGAGTGCAACATCAGCCAGAATGGGGGGGGGGGTACCACTCACTGGGCCAGCTGAACCGCCCACCAAGGGAACTTCCATCTTATCTGGTTTAATTCTCAGTCTGCCTCCATTAGAGCCCCTAGTTCTACCAGTTGGGGGTGAGTAAGAAGGGCAACGGCCAAGAAGCAGAGGTTGGGTTGCTTTCAAAGGGTGTCAGGCAAATTTATAGAGCCCAAGGCTATCCATGGTTGCTGTAGATACATTCCCAGTCGCCCTGCATGGATGTGAGGGCTGGACAATGAAGAATGCTGAGAGTAAGAAAACAGATGCATTTGAAGCATGGTGCTGTGGGAGAGCTTTGTGAATAACCTGGACTGACAGAAGAACAAGAAGCGGATCCTCGATCAAAGCAAGCTGGAGCTTTCCCTGGAAGCCAGCATGGCAAAACGGAGGCTGTCACATTTTGGGTATATCATGAGAGGACAAAGCTCCCTGGAGAAGACCATCATGCTAGAAAAAGCCAAAAGCAAAAGAAGAAAAGGGAGACCAAATATGAGATGGGTTGGGTCCATAAAGGAAGTCTCAGCCTGGAATTTACAAGAGTTGAGCAGGGCTGTCACGGATTGGGCATTTGGAGGTTTTCATTCATAGGGTTTCCATAAGTTGGCGACAACTTGACGTCACATAACAATAGCAATACTTCCAAGATCAGAGGAAGTAAGACCCTTTGTCTTGAATGCAACACTTAGTAGCTATTTATGAAGGAGAATTTCAGCTCCAAGATGCACATTTGCCTCCTAAGTAAATTAAAAGAACTATTCCAACAGCAGTTTGGGTTCAGCTTCTTTATATACACAGACATATATACACACACATTTTTTCTAACTGTACGATACGCTCCAGGAAATTTACTCAGCATTTGTAGAAATTAGAAGTCTCTCTGAAGTTCTCATTTCCTCTGATTTATAGTTTAAAAATAGAAACCTTGCTGGGCCAGTGACTGAGAAACACATAGCCTCAGCTGTTAAGGCAGTAGTCACTGTCCTACATGGTGTGCCACATAACGGGCAGATGCTGTCGATTCTTTTTATTTATTTATTTGTCGATTTATATCCTGCCTTTTTCCTACAAAGGGCTCAGGGCAGCTTACATCTCCTCCTCCATCTTATCCCCACAACAACAACCCTGTGAGGTAGGCTGGGCAGAGAGTCTGGGAGTGGCCCAAAGTCACCCAGTTGGCTCCATGGCCGAGCGGGGACTCAAACCCGGATCGCCTGAGTCCCAGTCCCAGCTCTTCACCACTGCACCACGCTGGCCCTTTTCTTTCTCATATCGCACTGCCTTTTCCTTCGGTGATGAAGTGGAGCCGTGCATGCGCACACACATAGACAGCACATGCTAAATACAGGCTAAGAGTAATTTACCTGCCACGATCCTATACATTCCTGCTTAGTTAGAAGTCCCAAATAGGGTTGGCACCCACGTAAGTATGCACAATCGGGTCACCTTCAATAGGCTTTCTGTGTGACTTCAAGGGAGGTTGTGCTGCAGAACCCTAACCTAGAACTGGCTCTGAGGGCAAAATGTGCCATTTATCATTTGTCATTCATCTGAGAGGGTCACATTATCCTTTCCTGCCAGACTAATCGAATCTCATTTTTGAATGGGTGACCTCCCAAATGGACTGTGGGAATGCTGTGGACATAATCTATCTAGACGTTAGCAAGGCCCTTGAATAAGTGATTGACTCCATGGTGCTCCGATTAGCAAACTAGCAAAAAGTGGGCTAGATGGGGCAACCATCAAGTGGATCCACAACTGGCAGCAATATCGGACTCAAGGAGTGCTCATCCATGGCACCTTTTCAGATTGGGGACAGGTGACACGTGGGGTGTTCTGTCCTGGGACCGGTACTCTTCCACATTTTTATTAATGATTTAGATGAGGAAGTACAAGGAACAATTATCATTTTTGCAGATGACACCAAGCTGGGTGGAATAGCAACCACCCTGCAAGACAGAGAGAAGGTGCAGGGTGGCTGATAGGTTAGAATGCTGGGCAGAAAACGACAGAATGAAGTTCGGTAGGGACAAGTGCCAAGTCCTACACTTAGGAACAAGAACCCAAATGCACCACTACAAAATGGAGAATACTTGGCTCAACAGTCCTGCAAATGAAAAAGATCTTGGAGTTGTTGCAGATCACAAGCTAAATATGAGCCAACAATGTGATGCAGCTGCAAAAAAGGCAAATGCTATTTTAGGCTGCATTCACAGGAGTATCACTTCCAAAACACGTGAAGTACTAGTTCCTCCATACTCAGCAGTAGCCACACCTCACCTGGAGTACTGTGTCCAGTTCCTGGCACGTACATTTTTAAAAGATGCAGAAAAGTTAGAAAGGGTGCAGAGGAGGGCAACAAGGATAATTCAGGGATTGAAGGCAAAGCCCTGAGGGGAAAGGCTGAGAGAAATGGCAGTCAAGAAGAGAAGATTGAGGGACAATATGATAGCACTCTACAAGTACCTGAAAGGCTGTCACAAAGAGGAAGGACGAGACCACTTGTCATTCATTCCAGAGTGCAGGACAAGGAATAATGGACTTGAGTTAAAAGAAAGCAGATTTAGACTAGACACCAGAAATAATCTCCTCACTGTCAGAGGAGAACAACCTATTACCTGGGGAAGTTGTGGTCTCTTCCTTGCTGGAAGCATCTGGACAGTCATCTGAATGGGATGGTGTAACTTAGTGTCCTGCAGAGGCAGAAATTTGGACCCGATGGCCTTCTGGCACCTTCCAATTCTATTGTTCTATGATTCTGTGACTGTTTGATAGTTAAGGGCAATCTGATTCTCTAAAGAGCAAGTGTGGTATAGTGTTTAGAGTTCTGGACTGGGGTCACTGACTCTCAGCCCAACCTTTCATATAGGGTTGTTGTGAGGAAAAAATGAAGATGAGAGAATTATGAAGATGAGAGAATTATGGATACACTGCCATGGGATCATTGGTGAGAAAGGCCAAATATAAATGCAACAAATAAAATAATAAAATAAATTATGAATAACATCTGACTCCAGCATTGGTTGCAGAATACTACAAGGCTGAAATTGATTGTCATCAGTCTGACATCTAAAAAAATAGCCATTTCATGAGAAAATTCAGTACAAATCCTAGCAGATGTAAGAATCTCCAAATGGAGAATTATGGAATCTTGGAAAGCCGAATTAGGTCCTTCTCTACAGAGCAGCAACAGTGATGCAAATTGAGGACTCCGTTCTCTCTCTCTCTCTCTCTCTCTCTCTCTCTCTCTCTCTCTCTCTCTCTCTCTCTCTCTCACACACACACACACACACACACACACACACACATGCACACTTCCTGCAGACAATAGAAGTCTTCTTTGTAATCTTATGCTCAACAAAATGTGCTTCATTCTAAATGTGGCATCAGGACCATATGTACACAGCTGGGAACAAGTGCTGCAGCTATGGCTGGATCTTAATGGCCCCTGGTTCCATAGCTCAAATAACCATCCGGACAGCAGAAGCACCATCAGGCTCATGGAAGAAAACTTGGTGTTATTCCTGCAATCATGACGATGTTTTCCATAAGTTTAAAATGCAAAATTGCACCTGCTAGGAGTTGGCTTGCGTGTCTGTTTTTTAAATCAAGATTGGCAAACCATTTCGTGGGTGGCATTGCTTTAACCTATCAGTGTGAAACATGAAAAGGCCATTCAAGTGGGAAGAGTATTAGTTTTGTGTTTTGCAACAGAAGTAATACATGCAGCCACCTAAAGGACAGGGCATTAAACCATGAAGTCCTGCGTCTAAAATCACCAAGCTGAACCACTTCTGCTGGGCACTGTAATATCTCTGGAAAAGAGAGTTCTTCTTGCATCAGTCTTGTGTTATTACTGTGTCTGGGAAAGTTTTATGCCTCTTGGAGACCCACTGCCATTTACAGCCCAATGGTCTGACTCAGTCTGAGGATGGCCCAAGCTTGAGTTCAACATTTCTGGACATGCTGAGTTGAGGAAGGCCGGTCTGCAGAGACCACCATTCATTTATTCTTCTCTCTTTTAGCACTTGGGACGATTTGGGATTACCTCTCTGTGCTAAAAAAACAAAAAGTTAGTCAAAAGCTTTTAGGCAGCAATAGCTGCAGCATTCTGCTCTCAGCCTCCACCCAATTTTTTTTCTTGCTTGCTTTTGTGCTTTTTCTCAGGTCAGCCGCTAACTGTTGCCTGCAAAGCATTTTTTGGGTTTAGCGGAGAGTCGGGTCCCATGATCTACTGGACACGGGGAGAGAGATTTATTGAAGAACTTGAAAATCACATCAAAGAAGGTGAAATCAGGTACTTGCTGAACAGGGAAATGGGGGAGGGGGAGCTTTTCTCTTGAAATCTGACAACAGTAACGGGAACACAACTGTGGGTCTTAAAATGGTACGTGTTATTTACTATGACCAGAAAAGGATTTTCTTGTCTAGATGTTGGCAGACAGATGGCGTGCCCCTACCATGAATTTGGGATTGTTCTCCTCACTGTTTTAGCAGCGATTGTGCACCACAATGGCTCCTTGTGTTCAGAAAAGGTGTCTCCAGGGTATTTCAGCTACTGTCAGTACATCTCCCTCCACGGGTTTGGGGATTTGTTCAGCATTTCTTGTTGCTATGTGCCGTCAAGTCATCTCTGCCTAATGGCAATCCCCTGCATGAAAGCCCTCCAAGATGTCCTGTCCGTGGTAGCTCCATTCAGCTCTGCCAAGTCCAAGGCTGTGGCTTCCTTGATGGATTTGAGCCCTCTCGTATTTGCTCTCCCTTGCATTTAGACCTAAAGATGCTGTAGGCTGCAGTTGCCTTTTGCCATAATACCCAGAAACATGCCCAGGTTTTCTGAGACTGAAAGATTGTTGGCCTCAAACAAGAGCTCAGTCACCCCTTAACTAAAACTGTTTCTCAAGTATCCTTCTTCCAAATGTGTATTTAGCCCAGGCTGGCTTCTCTCTGTTTTGAAGACCGAATAATTCTGTCAGGCTTGCCTTTGACCTGTGACCTGGCATTTAGTGGTCCCCTGCATTTAACGGATACTGGAGAATTTTGTTTGGCCCACATGTTTGTGTGAACCAATCTAACTGACACTTCCTGACCTAATCTTTAAATCAAACACAGTTATCCTTTGGATTCCTCATTTCTCTGAATGTTGCGATTCAATGTTGGGCTCAAATGTTGCGTACAATGTGCATATGCTAAGGAAAGTTGTATATCTTAAGAAACAATACATGCAAAATCTGTATTGAGCCAAAAGAAATCTGAACAGCTTCACTGCTTAAAGGATGTGATCCGTACTGCTTTGCCCAGCTAGGCTAAAGGAACTACCTCCACTGGCATAGCAGAGGTTCGGTGGGAGCCTGCAGGGCCTGGTATTGGCCCCTCGTGCTTCTTGCACTGCCTTTTGGCCATCCTCTGCAGTTCTCGATGTCCACATCAGAAGTCTGAGGACAGTTTCACTTCTCCAGTGTGACTTTCAGTTGGCACAAAGCACAACAGGAGCTCCTTCACTTCTCCATTGAAGTTCTACCCCAAAACAAAAAAAGAATAGCCGATCTGTATGGAACATAGCTGGTATGCAGTCAATAATAAGAAATTGCCTCTTTTAACTTATAAATGATTTTCATACAAACTTCCTTCCCTGTCCATACAACTGGTTCATCACTTATCTAGAAAGAGAGTATATGAAAGATGACCTTTTCCTTTATTTTCTCCAAGTGCTACTCAAGGAAAGGACTGAATTAGGCAGTAAGTTCCAATGCCTCATCCATGGTGGAGTGATACCAGTCTGGTGGCCACCACAGTTTAGATAGTTAGTAATTATAGTAAATGTTAAAAATAGATGGTGGGTGGGTGGATGGATGGATGGATGGATGGATGGATGGATAACTAACACATCAGTAATGTGATTTCTTTCCAGCACGCATTGTCCTCACCCACCTGTCTTTGAAAATGTCCATCCACTGTGGGTTCCCTTAATATTCAGCCATATTTGGGTGTAGAACAGTGTTTGCATGGTCCTTAGTTTTTTGGGTTTTTGGGTTTTTTCGTCTTCTTCTTCATATGTTCCCAATCTGAGAAACCTCTTTCCAAAAGACAGTGTGCATCACTCTGGATGAAAACAAGTTTCAGGCAAAACAGAAATGTTTTGAGCTGCTTTTGAATACAGTCATCCTTCAGCTTCCAATGTCCGTTGATATTCTACAACAATTCTACCAGTGGGGCCCCTCCTCAAGCTGCAACCTTCTCCCTGAGCGATGGCCCCTAATTTGGGGCTCCATCTTTTTTTGTTCTTCCTGCCCTTGAAGTGTCCATCACATGGGCAGCCCACCTTGTTCCGTAGCCCAGAAGCAAACAGGGCAGCATTAAGAGAGGCAGGCAGGCAGAATCACTGCTCTCCCGTAAGGGGCAGCAAGAGCTCCAGGACCTTTCCCCACCAGGTGAAGTCCAGCCGATCCACTTCTGGGAGGAATAAGAGATGGAGCAGGTGGGAGGCCGGAAGAGGGAAGCATGAAAAATCCCTTGCCAGGTGGGTTTTTAAGAGCCATAATAAAAACATTGTGTAAATCGAACCGGTCCTCTTAAACAAGAAATAATAGTCTTTAAGTCTGTCTGGAGGGTTGTGAATTGTGTCTGATTGGGAAAAGAACCTGCAATGAATTTCAATGCCATTGCTTTGCTATGCCAGAGGAAAACGCTCGATCTTAGATTTTACTATATATAAATCACCCGATCAGTTGCTAATTTTCCCTTTTCTTTGGCTGAGTCCATAAAGCAGCATCCAGATTTCTCAAGAGGCCTTGCCCAGAAATTCTACTAAATTGTTTTTCCCACCCCCACCCCGCTCTATCTGCCAGGTTTGCTGTTTATTATTTTTAAGATAAGAAAAATGTGGTTCGCCTTAGAGGCATGAAGGGTGAAAATGGAGGCACTTTAAATTAAACCTTTATTTTCCCCCCTCCCTGATTAATTTTCCTCTGTGCACTCTCACCCACATGAGTTAATTAGGGGATCCTGAAACCTCTGACAGCATGAAAAATTAAAGGAAGAGGAAAGCAAGATGTTTTAAAAAGAAAAAAATAGCAGTGCTGCTAAGTTGTCATTAGTTACCAAGATGAGGCAGAGCTTCCACTGATAATTCAAGCGTGGAGGCCCAAGTGGCACCAGTAGCACTGGACAAAACGAGGATGGCCGTTGGCACAAGAAAAAATGCCAGCTTATGCCACTTACATGTTTAGTTATGGAAAGTGAATGCTTAAAGATTAAATATGTCAGTATCTTTGGCATTTGCACCCTCTTCTTCCACCTTCAAACACCACTGCAGGAGAGCCCAGGAGCACTTTTCTGTAAGTGAATGAATTTAGACCTGGGCCCCAAGGAGTCTAACACCCCATCGTCTGAGGATGATGATGATGAGTGCGAAAGCATAGATCCAATCCTTCTTCTGCAGTTTCCTTGCATCTGTGAGCCCAATAAACCTCTAGATGTTGTTGTCTTCTCTTAGGCTTCTCAAAGAACATCTCGGAGAAAAAATAGTGGAGTTAACCTTAATCTTCGACATCATGAAAGAGGCAGACCTGGCCAATTATACATGCCATGTAGAAAACAGGAATGGAAGGAAACAAGCTAGCATTATTCTGCGAAAAAAAGGTAGCCACATTTCACTCTTCTCTTTATGAATACAGTTAAATTTTTGAATGGTGATATATACATTAACATCCCTACTGATTTCTTCTGGAGTTATGTTGGGCAAAACAGAAATGAACTGTGTTCTATTTAATAGGCTCATAGAAGAGTAGAGCTGGAAGGGGCCATGAAGGCCATCAGGTCCAACCCCCTGCTGTTGCAGGACACCAATCTATTTATCTAATAGATTTATATCCTGTCTTTTTCTTTTATAAAGAACTCAGAGCAGCTTGCATCATTCTCCTCCTCCTGCTCTCAGTCTTCTCCCCACAAAAACAACCCAGTGAGGTAGGCTGGGCTGAGGGTTTGTGACTGGTCCACAGTCGCCCAGTTGACTCTATGGCTGTGAGGGGACCCGAACCCAGGTCGCCTGGGCTCCAGTCCTGTGCTCTTAACCGCTACACTGCTCTGGCTCTCAAGATAAGCAGCAGTGGTACATTCTACTGCCTTTCTACTAGCTCCGCTACCCTATAAGTCTTCCGTACTTATTTTCCAGAGGATATAAATCCAATAATTAAATAGATGAGAGAGAGAGAGAGCTTCAGCTGCTGGGTGGTATAGAAATTAAATAGTACATACACAGCTAAATCAATAAGGGTTCAGACCCATCCCTCAACGTGAGAAGGGTTGTGCCTTAATTCACTCTTCTCCCATGACTTGCCCACACAGACCTCCCTCCTGTGCCTCTTTGCTGGCCTGAATATAAGCTGCAGCCTCACCCACTTGCCTACCCAGCAGCTGTACCATTCAATAATAACAAGGAACTTGGTCTGGACCTCACAGGGAGGAAGGGGAAAAGAGCACATGTTACCTATAAACTCTTGTGACTGAGCTCTAACATTATTTTTGAGGATTATATTAAAAGCAGCTTCATCAGAGGGGAATTTAGGCGTAAGAAGCAGAGGAAGACTTTCACCCTTTCCTCAGCCTGCCTATCCTCCAATGGCTGGTTTCCACCCTTTTTTTTCCAAAGGTGCCTGCAAGTTTCCAAATCCATGTTTGTTCTGAAAACTATATAATATGCAAAAACTAATGCAAAAAAGCAGTAGGGAATAGAAGAGAAGAGAAGAGAAGAGAAGAGAAGAGAAGAGAAATTCTGAACAGTCTATGAATCAGAACATCTTACAAGGGGAATAACGTCTTTCAGTTCAAGAGTACAGTCTGATTTGTTCCTGCGGCTCCCGACAAGTTACATGTTGCAGATTAAAAGGAAATAAGACATCAGTGTCAGCTTAGTGCTCATGTCTAAGAACGTCTGTCTCATGCAAGACAGGAGGAAAGCTTATTGGGGACTTGATATTCAAAGCAGGCACCTTTCTCTTTGCATTGTAATCATTTGATGTTCAGCTTGGTGCTTATCATGTAACTCTGAAATATTGAAACCACAGTAGTGTTTCAAAAAATGTATCACCATTAAAGGTCCGTCATCAAAGAAGTGAAGCTAGCTCAGCCTTTCCCAGCCTGGTGTGCTCTAGATCCGTTGGATTACAGCTCCCAGGATCCCCCAGCCAGCCATTCTACTTCTGGGGACTAGATCCTCTAGCCACTGAATCACTTGACTAGCTTTCTTGGCCCTTCCCTTGCTCCTCCATAGCACACAGATCTTTCCCACCTCAAAACAGGGGTAAACAAACACTTGCCCGCAGAACTCCAACTCTCATCTTCATAACATTGGCTGTGCTGGCTCGGATTCATGATAGTCTGGTCCAAAACATCTGGAAGGCATCAGGCTGCCTAAAAAGTTATTCCTTCCTCTATTTCTTCCCTCCAACGTTGTTTCCAGGCTACCTCGTCCTTGCTCCTCATATCCCACTTCCAGGCCCATCCAAACAAGGCCTGAGTCATTCTACAGACATATAATGCTAACGATCTGTGGGGGCTTTGGCATTTAATTAGAATCACAAGAACAAAAGAGACCTACAGCCAGACCAAAGTAGAGCATCTTGTTCCTTGCATACATCAACCAGATGCTTATGGTAAGCCCACAAGCAAGACATGGAGGGAATTTTCCATTTCCCACCATTGTTTCCCAGTAATGGGTGCTCAGAACAAAAGAGGGACATGTAACAATTAGGATGGGATCCCCCTGAAGACATTGCTTTGCCCATCTGAAATCTTTTGGGTTCCCCAAAGCTTGTTGATTCCTTCTTCTGTGCAGATGGTGCCATTTTGTCTGTCTAAGGAACTGTGCAGGGAAAATTGAGTACCCTTTTAGGGCATGGGATATCCCTGCTGAAATGGCTGGCTTGATCTAGCTGTGGGGATAGACCTCTCCTCCGTACATGTGCCGAATCCCCTTGATTTTAAAGCCAACCACACCAGGCATCATCACGACAGTTGTGGTCCAGAGTGCCTGGTATCCATCACCCACTGAAAGCTTTCAGCAGAAAAAGGCAATGAGGCACTTCTGTGGTCCAAAAAGAAACTTTTACTTACCAGAAGCAAGTAACATACAAGAGCTTTACATCTTCTCAGGGCTGGGAAAAGATAATTTGGTGTCTGGCCCAAATGGCAAAATGGTGCACCTTCCACAGTCCATGTTCAGAAGCTGACTGGGATGGATTCTGAATATCAGCACTGGTGACTGGATAACACCCTCCCCACAACCAGAGGCAATGGGCAGTTTATGGATCCCAGGACAGGTCGCGTGGCCAGCACAGCCCTATCGTCCAACAGAGAGGAACAACAGAAAAGGAGAGCCAGTGTGGTGCAGTGGTGAAGAGCATGGGACTGGGACTGGGACGATCTGGGTTCTAGTCCCCACTCAGCCATGGAGCCAGCTGGGTGACTTTGGGCCAGTCACAGACTCTCAGCCCAACCTACCTCACAGGGTTGTTGTTGTGGGGATAAGATGGAGGAGGAGAATGATGTAAGCTGCCTTGAGCCCTTTGTAGGAAAAAGGCAGGATATAAATCGGAAAACAAACAAACAAACAAATGTTCAGGAGGAACTGGCAGGAGGCTGACAAATCTGTCTCACCTACCAGCATCTGCCACCCGAAGCAGGCACTCTGCCTTATGGTAGAGCTAGCCCTGCATCTCTGCTCTGTGACTCTCTGAGGCCAAGAACTCTTGGTAGGGTTTCCAATGGTTAATCACGATAGCCCAAAGTCTTGCAAGATGAAAAGCTGACTTGTGAATTGGCTTCTGCTTTTCTGTGTAGACTACAATGCACCATTAAGGGTATATTACTTTTACACTACATTTATACCTCACTATTTTCTCTCTTGTGAGAAACCCAAGGTGGCTGACATGGTCCTCCTGCAAGGAAGGTCAGAAGTCACCCAGTGAGTTTCATGACCAAGTGGCGAGTGGACCCTGAGTCTCTCCAGCCCCAGCCCAACTCTGGACCCATGATGCCACACTGGTTCCCAAGCAGAAACTCATCACACCACCTCCATTTTTGGGAGCTTTATGCTTCTGTTTTTCATTCTTTCTATCAGCAGGATTTTATGCTTCTCCCTGTTCTTATTTATCATGGCAATAAATATCTGCACTGACACAGGGTGTAAATTGATACATCTTCTCGAAATATCTCTCATAGTCTTAGATTGGCTCCTTGTGATTTTTAATGGCCGGATGAACTGGAAAGCAAGGTTAAGAGCTGCAGGTGCTTGCACTGTATTTGAAATGGCATTCAATCTGTTAACGAGGGCCTCCCAGTGGTGTTAAGTTATGGGGATAATGAATCATCTCAACTTTCAGCAGCCGAGGTCTGTAAGGAGAGACAAAATGAACCGGGTGACAGTTTTGTGAACATTTCCATGACCCCACCTGCATCCACCCAACTTTTTGTGCTTTTACAGGAGCGCTTAAAAAGATGCAGGCACATTCACTGGGGTGGAGGGAGGGGACGTGCCATCCCGTTTCAGCAACCGGACTAAGGTGGTGCTTTCTGGAGCTGCTCTGAGACAACAAACGACTGCAGTGCAGTGTGGCAGAAGAGAAAACGCAGACCATGCTCCTTGAAAAGCGCATCCAAAGGTGGGAATTGGGATGCCTCACCCAGCTACACTCTCCAGCATGCTTCCCTTTCCTCTCAGGGAAAGTGACACCCACATGTCGGCTTTTTGGAAACATCTATATCCCACCTTCCCCTCAGCCCCCAAAGAAAAAGTTCAAGACAGCTAATGAAGAATTAAAAATTCCTACAGACAAAAGGGTGAAGAAATACAGTAAAATACTACAGTACATTTAATTTCTATACCTCCTAATAACCAAAGACAGCATAGGACACTAAACAGAGCAGAAAAGCCAGAAAAATAAAATCATAAAACAGCAGTAAAAACCTGTCAACTAAAGTTCACTTCTATTCAGAGAGAAGGCCTAATGAAAATGCATAGAATTGCAGCCTAAACCACTAGTAAATGAAGGCTTTCCTAAACACACACAGAGAGAGAGAGACAGAGAGAGATGGTCTCCTTTTAACATGGACCTTTAATTCTGCACTGAATCTCTGGAAGTTCAGTGGAATATTGGTGTTGGTGGAGCATTGTTCTCATTAATAACACCCTTGCATTTGCTGGTCTCTCCACCTTTTCTCTTCTCTTCTCTTCTCTTCTCTTCTCTTCTCTTCTCTTCTCTTCCCTTCCCTTCCCTTCCCTTCCCTTCCCTTCCCTTCTCTTCTCTTCTCTAGACCTGATCTCCAAAATTGAACTTGCCGGAGGTTTGGGAGCCATCCTTCTCTTGTTGATTTTGCTTATTACTATTTACAAATGCTACAATATTGAGCTGATGCTGTGCTACAGACAAACGTTTGGAGGTGATGAAGCCATGGATGGTGAGTGGATTTCTTCAAGGAGCTGCGATCGATGTTGCTTTGACCAAGGGTTCAAAAATGCCAAGCAGTCGTCGCCTCTGACGGAGGCTGCATGCTGGCACGAGGGAACGGATGTGGTCTGCTCTGAGGGCTTTGGGGAACCTTTATTGATTTATTTTATTTATTAATCAACATGCAGCGGAAAGGTCTCCTGCCTGAGCACTATTAAAATTGAGGGCAGCTGCACAAAAGGCACAGCAAAGCAAGAGGAAGAGGCACATACAGCATGTAGAACAAAAAGCAAAGAGAAAAGTCCAGAATGCCTATAGAAAACATGCTATCCTTACACAACACATTTCAGGAAATGTCCCCCCCCCCCCCCCCCCATAATGAGGGCTGAAAATATGACCTAAGATTGTCTTTTGTTGGTTATATTAAGGAAAGCAAGCAGCCCCTGATGAAGAAGCATTTAAAAAATTGAGTGACAATACTTGGCATTCTCTCTCTCTCCCTCTCTCTCTCTCTCTCTCTCTCTCTCTCTTGCTGTCTCTCATCGAATGGGTTTTATTTTCCACAAGCAGGCTAGGCAACAGTCCTTGGGAAAACTACTGTATATTTCCCAAGTTCCCTTGCATCTGACATGCCACAAGGGGAGCAGGGGAAGAGTCTGCCCCAACTCGGGCAGGAGTCACCCAGGAACAGGGTGGGAGAGAGAGGAACTGGGGGATTTTGGAAGATTGTTGGAGAATGGGGCTGACCAGAAAGAGTTGTGGGGCGTGAGAGATGATGGGATGTTGCTTTCATCCTAGCTCGGGGTAAAATCTGAGATGGACAAGAATTGGGAGTCATCTTTACTTCATATTTGATCTCTAGAGATGTTCTGAACTTAGAGACTTTCCATTCACTGTGTTGTGAGCCGCCCCGAGGCTTCGGCGAATGGGGTGGCATAGAAATTTTCTAAATAAATAAATAAATGAATGAATGAATGAATGAATGAATGAATGAATGCCTGGTACAGGAAAAGCATGATTGTATTCAGGCAGATTCTCAGGGACGGATACCTGGGCTCCATTTAATTGCTACTACCACATGCTATGGAAGAAATCTAGGGTGGGTAGTGGATAGAAAGGTCAGAATGTTGGACTGGAACCAGAGAGACCTGGGTTCAAGCCCTCACTGAGCCATGAAGCTCAGTGAATATCTTTGTGTCCATCACTGACTTTCAGACTAACCTACCTCACAGGGTTGTAGAGAGGAACAAATGGAGGAAGAGGACCGTGTTTGCTGCCCTGGGCACCTTGGAGGAAAAGGCGCAGTCTAACATCCATCCTAGGTCCTGCATAGGCTCGTTGAAGTGTTTGCGACTTAAGTTAGCATTGACAGTCCAGTCACATTTATTTCAGTGGAGCTATTTGAAGTAGGAGCCGTACTGGATTTTACCCTAAAAGAAGCAAATAAATAAGATACTAGTTTCCAGGACATAATTGACCCAAGTGAGGTTTTTGCCTGACTCATCCTGGTGCTGCTCAACTCTCCATTATCAGCTCATGGGATTGAAAAGCTTATTTCCTCCTGCCGGTCCAATCCAGCCTTGCCCATCCATCGCAGAGCCTTGTGTTCGTATTGAAATATGGCCTCTTCTGCCAGAACCAGCAGCAGCTCAGCTGCCCTGCTTGTTCTTCTCAATGCAAACTGGTGAAAAATCAGTCCTTTGGATGAGAAACGGGGTCTCCTCATAAGTCACAGCCAGATCTCCTTGATGAAAATGAGGGAAATTAGCATAATCAGAAGAATGTCAATGAACAAGGCACATTTTGATTGGCTGCTTAGCCTCACTTTAGTGCAAAGGACTGGTTGTTTTCAGCTTGCCTCCTCCAATTTCTTCCCTTTTGCACACTGTTGTTGTTCACAGAAAATTGATGCATTGTAAGTATTCCATATTTTTGTCTTCACTACATTAACCATTTGATTTTTCATTTTGTCTGAATAATGGGCACTTGCAAATACTGTGAGAGCTACCAATCACAGCCTTATCTTTTTTCCAATAGACCCACCGCTTCAGGAAGTGATATAAAAGTTTGTGCCTACGCAATAAAATGGTCTGTGATAAATGGGTGCATTACAGTATGAGTTAAACATTCATTCTGCATAGACTACCTAATCATGCATTAATATGGACAATAAAACCATTTATGCATGCAGTTTAATGCAGCTCCTCTTTGCTTGCTTTGTGAAACGGCTGCAGGCCTGCATCTAGCCACAGCCTCAGCCATGATGTCCTTCGGAAGGGCCGGCCCCTCCGTTAGGCAGAGTGGAGCAGCTGCCTCAGTTGGCACATGCTGGGGAGGGTGGCACCGAGGTGTCGGAGAGGAGAACATCTGTGCCACAGCCTCCCACTTCCTAAGGTGGCCAGATGCCTTCAGGTGCACTGGGGGTCTCTGTCGCATTTCTGTCCTTCATTTATACTGCCTGCTTTGCTCAAAGGTGGCGCAGAGAGCTGGTGCACCGCAGGGATTCCATGTGGTCTCCATCCATGCATCATCTCTCCTCCCACGGCACTGTGGTCTTCCCCACCCCTTCCTCTTGCAAGAGCCTCCCCAGCCACAGGGCCCCCCATGCCAGCACCTGATATGGTGGCAGCACAGGGTGGAGGAAGGGGGCACAAGGAAGGGAACCGGAGGAGGAGGAGAGGCTGGCAGGAATCTCCAGACCACTCACTGGAGGGGGCTGGGCAGAAGTAGGGCCCCTCCTGCAGGGTGCTGCTCCTCCCTTCTACATGCAGACCCTGAACCCTTCAGCATGGGAAACCTGGCCCTGAGCTCATGTCCTCCCTCAGGCCATGCCCCAGACTCTGATACAGACCAGAGCCAGTCAGAAGGGGTCTCCGGGCCATCTAGTCTGACCCCCGGCACAAACCGGCCCCACTCATACAATCCCCCCATGTGGCTGTCCGATCTCGCCTCGAACGCCCTCACTGCATGTGACCGGAGAGTGTAGGAACGGTGTTTTTGGAGCAAACTAGGCCAGAACCATTGAAGGACAAAACGAAAATGCTTGGAGGGCACCCGGTCACTCAGGGGTTCCTTGCAGCCAGTCTGCATCACTTTGCTGCTGCAGAGGAAAATGGCAGGTCCAGGCCCTTTTTGTTCTCTTCTCTTTTGTAAGCAAGATTTGTGATTTCATTTGCAGACAACAAGGAATACGATGCCTATCTCTCTTACACCAAAGTGGATCCAGACACACTAGACTGTGACAACAGCGAAGAAGAACAATTTGCCCTTGAAATCTTGCCAGATGTCCTGGAGAAACACTATGGATACAAACTTTTCATTCCGGACAGGGACCTGATCCCTACTGGGAGTAAGTACAGATCATTTTGGGCTTTGAGATGACCCATGTGATACTACTCAGGAGGTGAACCCCTTAAGTGGTCATTTCCTTTTGATATGGTCAGCCTCAGAGAAGGCGAGCTGAGCTGCAACACACACACACACACACACACACACACACACAGGTTGTGCACACAGTGAAGTGCAGGCTATTCAGTCACGAAGAACACCCTGGAGAAGACAATCTCATGGCAATTGGAAATCGGTGGTAATATCTAGCTCAGCAGAAAGTAGCCTTTGCCATTCTAAGGCCTGTTTGAGGGTGTCTCTACATTTCACACATTTCTTAGATGTCTCACAATCATGTTGCACCAGAGAAATAAAGCAGCCCTTTGGGCCCAGTGGGTAGTTATGAAGTCAGACACATGCCACGGACTTCCCTCTGCTGAACAAACGCATTTCTGCTTCCTTGTCATAGCTGGTGTTACTGCAGGGTAGTTTTATGCTTTGCTCTGTGCTAACTGTGGTAGCACACGGGCCAAGTTTTCTTCTCCAAAGCAAAGCTGGAAAGCAGGAGCGTGCATGTGTCTGCCAAACTGCAAAACCTGACAATGCAGCCCGACACAAACATAATACTCCGCTACAGTTTTGTAAATCATGAAAGGCAGGGAGATTTTGCACAATAGAGGGGAGAAGATCTGTGTGGGAGGACAAATGATTCTCATGCTTGCCTGACTTCCCTCCCAGATTAATTTGGAGCTTGTTTGGCTCACTCATATTTTTGTTTTTAACTTGTTTTTTAGCTCATTCAAACTGCAAAAGTGTACATTCTGAATGGGAAAATGCATGTTTCTATATGTATTTTTTCAAAAATGTACAGTTTACTTCCATTAACTAAGGTATGGGAAGTGCGTTTTTTGAAGATTGTGCATTACAAAGTGCCCATTAAAAAAAAAAACCCTACATGTTTTTCAGACACATCAGCACATTCAGAAATGTGCAAACATTTCTAAAGAAAACTGCTTACATTTGCATTCTCAATTGCAAAAAGGACATGTCTGAAGGATTTGTGAAAGAGAAGTTACAGCCCCAGCAGAAGGGAGGAGAAAGAAAGAGATATGACCTCTTAGCAGTTAGGCAATTGGGAACATTACATCTGTACAAGGCCTGTGACAGAATTCATTTAAAATGCAATTAAATATTCCAGAGGAGTATGAGAAGTCACTCTCTCATATTTGTTAGCATGCCAAAGTAGAATTCAACCACTTGGCCCAGGATGATAGAACGTCATGAATTGGTTTTATGCATTCTCTAAATTTGGGAGAGGGAGTGGATTAGTTTTATTATTTTGGCAGCATCTCCGCCCCTAATTAACCCCTGATGCAAAGTGTGTTCTTTTCTTCTCCAGAACTTTGCAATTAGCAATTTTGCCACAAACAGAATGCAGAAAACAGATTGCATTGCTTCCCTTTCTATAGGCTGCAAACAACCCAATGAAAACTTTTCATGGACTGAGGGAAGGGGACTTGTTGCGAGAAGGATATATCGGTCTGTTTTCAGTCCATGATTGCTTGCCATGGGTGTGGGCTTGTTCCACCTGTTTTTGCCTTCACCTGCAATTTTTAATGTATCTGAGATTCCCTATAAATATCTGATTTGAAAACATTCTCACAAAATATGTCATTCCCAAGTATTTTTTCTGCAAGTGTGCATTTCTAATCCTTGTTTCATACTAAGTGTTTATGTCGTTCTGGACATGTGACGTAAGGATTGGTTCCGGTGTTACTGCACCAAGCCTTGTGAAGAGGAGGTAGAATTTGCAGCTGAAATGCCGTGGACAGTTGGAGCACAGATAAGCAGGCAGAAGGGAGCAAGTTACAGTGAGCTGGTGAAGGAAAGGGAGACAGGCATAGGCAGGGAGGGCTCTGTATCAGAGGGAGCCCTTACCCGTTGCAGCTCTATGGGGGCTATCCAAGGTGCTGAACACCATCCCCAAACAGGTTCTTCATCATGGATGGCTCCTGCAGAATAGGAAAGAATGAAATAAAGGCTGCAATGGAGAAGCAGCGCTGCAGAGCAGAGCAGAGGATTTGGAAGAGGCCTGCAAGGCCACCTAGTCCGCCCCTGCCCTGCTTCTCCGTTCAGCTGCAGGCCTGCACCACTCCAGCTCAGGAAAGGTGGCTTCACACGCTCGTTCAGCGTACAGCTATGCAGGAATATAGAGAGTTGCTACTCTCCCCCGGGCACAGGCATAACTAATCCCAGATTGAGGCATCATCTGAAAAATCAAGACCAGTTAAAACTTGGTTGTGTTGGACTGGGGACCTGGGAGAAGCAGCTTCTAGTCCCTGCTCAGCCATGAAGCTCACAGTGTGACTTTTGGCCAGTCACTCTCTCTCAGCCTAGCCTACCTCACTGGGTTGTTGTTGTGAGGATTCAGTGGTGCTATGCAAGCCATCTTGGGCTCCTTACAAGAGAGAAAAAGGCCTGCCGCACCCAGCATGCCTCAGCCAAAACTTTTCCTGTCTAAACATGCAAAGGAGTTTTCCTTAAATGTTTTCAGGATGGAAGCTTTCAACATTGAATAAAAGCACGGATCATTCAGTTGTAAGCGTGTGGCCAGACCTTGTCTTTCATCAGCACTGGCACTTAACAAATCAAAGTTAAAACAAAGGCATGGTGTGATTGTACACCACATGAAGCCATTAGTGGAACAAATTCTGTATTTCACACCCAGCTGCTGTTTCTTCCAGGCTTAGTTTCAAGTTTTAAAAGGATGGAACAGAATCAAATATGTTTGAAGTTGCGAGAAATAGCAATGAAGAGAACAAACGCGGTAAATGAATTGGTTTCTCTGGCAGGTGTCTCAATGGGCTTGATGGGCAGAGTGGCGCTTTCTTTTCTGTCCACCTGTCATTCAGGCACTCCAAGGAAGACTCATCATCGTCGTCATTTCAGAGAGTCATTAACTGTCATCAGCGAGACACACGCTACCTGTGGAAATCAGCGTTCTCATCACAAACCATGGAGCACCAGCCTATTTCTTTCCTGCTTGGCAACCAAAATGACTCAATATTTTGAAAGGGGTTGATTCTCTCATGCAAAACAGAAGTGATTAATCACTACGGAGTGATGATAAAGCAGAATATGAATCTGATCATGGCCTGTTGCTTCTACTCTCTTGGGTTCTCAGCACATTGATCCCCACCCTTGAGGTTTCCGTGCCTGAGATGCCTACACAAAATGTGAAGAAAGTGGAGGAGAAGGCTTTTCTCTCCCTCTCTCATAATGCTCTAACCCAGGGTCATCCCATGCAGCTGACTGGTCAGAAAATGAAGACACATAAAAGGAGGTCCTTCATCCCACAGAGCATTGCTAAACCACAGAATTAGCTTCCACAAGATGTAGGTGTGACCACCAACTTGGATGGCTTTAAAAGGGGGTAGGACAAATTCATACTAAGACGTCCATCAATGGCTAATAGTCCTGATGGTCTCATGCGACCTCCAACATCAGAGGCCCCGAGAAGCTTTTCTCAGTCATCGCACCCAACTCTGCAATGGCTGTGGCTGCAGTGATTCCCCTTAGGAGAAAAATTCTGCCCACTGAAACAATGAGGTGGGGAAGGGCTGGCTTGCTGCCACTTGCTTTGGCCCCCTGCTGCACAGAATGCTTGCATTGCCCTGTTGCTTATGCCAGAGACGTGCTTATTCCACCTGCTACCCTCAAGGACAGGTGCCTGGCAAGAGGCAGGACGGCAGAGGTAGCAATCTGTCAGCTCCAACTGTGATGCAAAGGATTACACATCTGTATACACATCTGCACACTGGGCAGCTGCCTTTAACACTGAGGCTGTCCCAGCAATGGGTGATGTAGTTGCGCTTGTACAGATCAGTGCCATAGAAGAGCAAACACCACTACTAGCCTGCAACTGGGGAGATGCTCAAGAAAACATTGCCCCATGGAGTGCTCTTGTTCAGCATTCCAGCAAACCAGCTTTCTTCCAGGGTGCACCATTCCATTCTCCATGCAAACAACCACAAACCTTCTGTCCCTGCTGCACAAGCTCCATCTTCGTACAGCTGGTTGGGAGCTTTCCATAAGCACAAGTACTTGGCTTTCCTGAAGGACATTTTTGCAGAAACCATGGGACTGTTCAGGTGTCCCCTTCTGAGGATGGAGACAACACTCTGCTGTCAGAGGGAGAAGTCAGACACGCAGCTCCTTCCTCTGCTCCCTCACAGCACCATGGAAAGGACCAGGCCAGCTGCCCTCTGAAGCACAACGCGACCATAGAGGAGGAAGAAAGTCTGGCATAGATGTCTGAGGGTGGGAGAATGGGGAAACATCCACACGGGTGTTCCTGCCCTGAGCTGGGGGTTGAACACCATCCAGGTCAGGGGCTTCCAGAACAAAGGTGCACTCAGCCCCCGTGGTGTTAATATACCTGCTCTGGAGTCATGCTTAGGACTGTGACTATAAACTGATCCACGAGCTATTAGTTAACCAGGGATTAATCAAAATATGTAGCAGCTATGCATAAAAGCAGCTAGCTCATGCTAAGTACAGATCCGTCAAGCCAGTATAGCGAGTTCTAGTCCTCGCTCAGCCATAGAGCCAACTGGGTGACTTTGAGTTAGTTAGACTCACAGTCCAATCTAAGAGGAGAACTATGTAGACGTTTCTTGACTTCTTTGGAAGGAAAAAAGGCGGGATAAAAATATAATAAATTAATTCATGCTTTTGTCATGTCTACCTCTTCAGTTATTGCTCGTTCTGCTCCCATTCTTAATGGCCGTGGTGGTTCACAGACTCCTGAAATGCAAACGTTTCCTCCTTGAAACTTTTCCAGCCAAAAGCTCGTTTACACTGAGTGACATACACTTCAGTTTGCTTTTGAATGCAAATCTGCAAAATTCACGCTTTCCAGAGCAAATTAGGACACAGTGATATGCTGATACTTGCACTGCTCTGAATTTTGCGAAGCAGTTCATAAATTTTAAAAAAAATGTGCACAAAGATGCAGAAATAGAGCAAAGTGGACCCAAACTGCATTATGTGAGGGAAATCTGCTTGCAAACAAACCAACTCTATATTTATAAAAAGCTCAATCAAAACTGTGTTTGTTGGGGAAAGTGCATGCAAAGATTGAACATGGATGAAACTAGGTGCAACTTCTTCAAACAGACTTTTCTTGAAAATTGCAACTTGATGTGGAAACAGGATGGAATGCATTTAAGGCATGGGGGAAAAGCAGAGTGCAATTGAATCTGACAAGTTTCTCCATCCCTTGCTGAAAGCTTTGGATATCGCATTGGCTGTCTGAGGAGGAAATGCAAGGCAGGTGTCCTTCGGTCGGTGTGGGCAAGTGGCTCTGCATTTTGCCACATGGTGGTGTCACTGTCCACGTTGCTCAAATGAAGGTCTAGAGTGCACAGAACGAATCCAGGCAAGCCCATTTCTAATTCAAAGGCAGTGCTCTAATGACCAGCCCCACAACTGATCCTCCACAACCTAGCAAAGGTCTGATCGTGGCCACCCTCAGGTTTTGCTCAGGTTCAGGTTCACTCAGGTGCTCCCTCCCAACTCACTCTGTGGGATAAGTTAAATCAGAGCCATTGTGTTGTAGCAGTTAATGTTGGACTAGGGCTCAAGGTTCTAGTCCTGTCTGGCAACGAACCCCTGGATGCCTTTGCATCAGCCACTGTCTTTCAACTTAACCTACCTCACAGGGTTATTGTGAAGACAAAATGGAGACTATGTACATGCTCGTTCAGGTTCCCTAGAGAAAAGGCAGAATATGAATGTAATAAATGCATACTTACGAAGAAATAATAAAAGTGCATACACATGTGGCCCAGTGGATCGAGATGATGCTGTATTGGTTACAAGTTACTTTGCAAAATGATGTGGGCCAGATCCAGATTTATCCTGGATCAACTGTGTTGATGGAAATGGATTTCTCTTCCCTCTTTCACCCTCAAGGGATCCCCCACAAAATGCTAAATAGCAAGTTAGGGGACGCTGATGAATCAGGTGTGGGGAGGGGGATATCCCCAAAAGCTGGCCGCAGGGTCCTTCCATTACTGGAACTCTTCCACTGTGGAAGGCAGATCCCTGATCCAGCCTGCGGTAGTCACGGAGGCTTGCTCCTGTTGACCCATGACGCCTTGTTCCTTCTGCCCGCCTGCCCGGCCAAACCGCATGTGGGATGAGTTCCACCTGGAGCAACCCTACAACGTGCTCTTTCTCCTGCAGGCGCTTCTTCCACCTGGGGCCCCTGTCTTCCAATGGAAGGAGAGGTGAAGAAGTGGGTAGAGTAGGAGTCCAACCAGTCCTCCCCGCAGTCGAGGACGAGGGTGAAAGGGGAGGGCCGCTCTGCCTGAATTTCTGCTCTGCCTGTTCCCATTTCTGCTCTGCCCATTCCCCCTTGACCAGTTCTCCATGGCCAGCAGTCAGTGCAATGGCTCATTTGGGAAATGGTTCTGCCAAATACTTTCTGAAAAGCATCACAAAACAAAAGTGACCCCGCACAGTCGTTATCAGGGCCCGTTTCGTACAATGATTGCCGTCCGACGGGCAGCAGCTCGGTGACTCCCTGTCCTGTGCATTGGGATGGATGAGAATTTAATTTCAGCTCCATTTTGATAAGAACTGAGCTAAATCCACAAAGCTCCCCATATTTGGAACAAAAAGAATTTGAGACTAAGAAACATCAGACGTGGGAGAAAGCAAAACTGACAGGTTCATCCATCCAAGCCCAGGGCTTTGAGTGCTTTGCTCTTAAAAGTCTGGTTTGGATCTTTGCCTGCTGAATTACCATTGTCACTTTTTTTCCCCTGACAGATGTCTCGTCTCTAACAGCTGTATGGCAGGCAGGTACCACATGGCCCTCCCCATGCTGGGAATAGCTGTACCTATTTAATTTGTCTGGCGCAGATGCTGAGAATTTCATTCCAGTTCCTTTTTATGATTCACTAAAAGTTACAGAGTTCTCCATGTCCAGGAAAGAAAGAACTTGAGATGTTAAAAACCCAAATGCAGGAGAAAGTGAAATTGGCAGATTTGCCCAACCCATACATGGACCGGAAGCATCATCCCATGGCGTTTCATCCCTGTCCACCCTCACTCCTGCTTGCTTTTAGGAAAATCTAAATGAAAGCAGAAGAAAAACAGCCCTGTTTATGACAGATCTGTACTTCATACCTAAACCAGTTCAAGAAACAGTCCCTCACCTATAAACTCTTTTTTTTTTGAGGGGGTGAAGCTAGAAAACTCTGCACCTTTGATGGAACCTTATGCGCATCCTATGCCCAGAATGGGATGCAATTGTCTAGGATTTCCACTGGCTCACGCTGTTTTCTAGATGGCTGGGGAGTAGGACAGAAGGCTGGGAAGCTGACAGGAATGAGCATAACACGTCTGCAGCATAAGTCTCCCTGCCTTTTCTTCCTCTGAGAACTAGGGGTGATCTCGGGGGACCACCTAGCATGGTCCTTTCAGTGCCAGCTGTGAGGGAACAAGGCAGAAGATCTCCGGAACTCCACGTTCTCCTATGGCCTTGTGGACCTTGCATAGGTCGGGGGACCCAGTACTGCACCTAACGGAATCCTCAGCATTCTGACAAAGCCGCACTTTCCGTGATGTGAGATGGAGGAAAGGAAATGACAGCATAAATTTGCAAACGAGATGTCTGAGTTCCAAAACCCCGTGAGGTTGTTCAGGGGAATGTCTATCAGCAGGGACAGAGGGTAATATTTCTGTGCATTTAGGGGCTTCCAAATGAGGTTTTTATCATGTCATTGCCCTGCCTCATTCATGGAATTTTATGAGGTCTCTAGACAACCATGTCTTCTGCTCATAACTCTCTGGAGTTCTGCCACTGCTTGTTGCATCTTAACAGAAAATCTGTTTAGGAAGTAAAAACAGAAGACCTGCACAATGCCTTCTAATTAGTTATGCTGGGATCCCTTGATCTAGAGGCTCACTAAGTCCTCCATTCTCTTTTTTCACCCTTCAGTCTATTTCATGTTAAAAATCCTAGACTGAGACCATATCAGCTGTGATCTCTAATGGATATTTCCTGATTATGACTATTATGGTAATCCTCTCTCCAAGTACATCTCCGCACAAACATTCACACCTCAAAGTATCCTCATCCTCTTATGTGTTGGCCCTACAAGCATAAAGACGGGTTGCCAAGCTGGCATTCTTAGGGGTTGACTGTCCAGCTTTAATTTAGACCAGCCAGGCTCAAAATACAATGATCTATGCCATAGGTCTACTCTCCGGGAAGTGGGCGTAGGATTGTCTCCCAAATCAAAATTCTGCACTGAGACAAAAGAGAATCGTTCTTGCAAATTCATGTGGGTTTGCATAATTTATTCAGAAGTGCCTGGTCATTGGGTGAAAGGTCAGTGCACTTTGCCGACATGTATCAAAATTAAATACCAACTGGCTAAGCAAGAAAATAGAGCTTTTTTCCTTGTTTAATTACAAGGCTCACTTCTTTTTTGTACAGTGTTTGTATTTCTCTATTTTACTGTCTTTCCTTTCTTGCCATTTGCAGCATACCTTGAAGATCTCACAAGATGCATTGAACAAAGCCGAAGGCTCATTATCGTGCTAACTCCAGACTATGTACTCAGAAGAGGCTGGAGCTTATTTGAAATGGAAAACAGACTCCATAACATGCTTGTTAGTGGCGAAATCAAAGTAATTTTCATCGAGTGCCCTGAATTAAAAGGCAAAGTGAATTATCAAGAAGTGGAATCTTTAAAGCACACAATTAAACTTTTTTCGGTAATCAAGTGGAATGGGTCAAAAAGCAGCAAGCTGAGTTCTAAGTTCTGGAAGCACTTGCTCTATGAAATGCCTGCCAAGAAAAAAGAGGTCCTGTCACGGCGGCAAGTCCTGGATTCCGCCGAGCAAGGTCTCTTTGGGGATCTCCAAACGGTGCCTTCCATCGCTGTGACAGACACCTCTGCCTCCTTGGTTGCATCGCAGGCAGACCTGGGCGATTACCAACAACCAGATCCAGTGCAGACGAGACATTACTGCAGAGGCTACGAGTACAACATGCAGTCTGCCACCTTGCCACTGGCCGCCATAAGCAGCAATCACCACACTTACTGTAACATCCCTCTGACGCTACTCAACGGACAGCTGCCTCTCAGCAGCGGCATAAAAGATGCGCGGGAGTTCCACCGGAACAATCCCTTGCTTCCATTATCCACGAGGGAGCTCAGTTTCACCAGCGACATATGGTAGCAAAAGAGCTAAGCGCTGCAACATTGGCTTGTTTGAGTACCAAGCAGACGGTCATTAAAGGACCTTGAACCCGTAAGATCAGGTGCCAAAATATTTTGCCAAGTCACAAGTAACTCACTTTTATACTTGAACCTCTTTGTTTACATTTCAAAAATTATTAGCAAAGGGGGACCTACTTTTGTAGTTCACAAATCAGTTCATATCTTTTAATGTACAGTTTTATTGCTTCTTTATAAAAATATAGGAGGGCACTGGAAAGTATTTTGAAGGAGGGTTTACAGTCTGGTAACAAATTGACATTCAATGCTATGTGTGATAGAGTAAGATTCAGTATTTATATATTAGTACTTCAGATATTTAAACGGATATTTTTAGGAAGAACATTAGGTAGTAACAGCACCATTCACAAATGTGAAGAGGCCACAAGCTACAAAAGGAAGCATCGTCATTTCAAGTCACACCTGGAGGACCCATTCCCATTAAGGATGCCTTTTAGGAGATCTTGCCCATATAAGAGGATCACCAATACATTTTGGAGGATGGGCTAGGTGGACCCCTGTGGGTGACAACCTCTAAGTTTTCACTCAGCAATTCCTTAGGTTGGGGAGGGGGGAATGATTCACCCACTTCACATATTCCATCATTTGTTCTGAACACCTTTCTTAAGCCTACTCAATAGCTGCCATTGTGTTTTTCTTAAACAACTTATTAGAAAGTTGACTGCAGTTTAGTTTCTGTAGACTTTTAAACCTTGTTTAAACTGGCTTTGCAGGTTTCTAAGGACTTTTCTTCCTTTTACACTTTTATGTACCAACAGGATTGTCTTGTAGTCAACTGTCTGCTGATTTAAACATTTCTTAAATTTCTTGACCTTGTAAGATTTGTATCAACAGTAATGTAAATTTTTCACAGGGTTGTTATTATTTCAGTTTTACAAATTTAGAGTTACAACTTTAAATCTGGAATTTCCAGTTACAGCTTACAAATCAACATTTGGCAGAGAATGTCAGCAATAGAGAAAAAAATACAGCAATACTCACAAAAAAAGTGCTGAAAATTGTTCAGGTTACCAGTGGTTTGAAAACAGTTGCATCGATAATCACCTAATACAGCAGAGAGAGGCAGTTTACACCCAGTGGGTACAAATACAGTCAAAGGTTAATTATGAACAAGTCCCAATGTGGTGTTTTCAGCCAGATATGCTGGGGGAGTTCGCACATTACGGGGATGATATAGGTGCTGCTTCGTTATAACCTGTTTCTATGTGTTAGAAGAAATATCACTGCAAGACCACAGCCAACAACTCTTCGTTGGATGGAGGACATTCTGGTGACAGTTTTGAAGAACTTTTCCGAGATTTTTCTTTTCCTTTCCCTATTGCATTCACTTACACACACCAACTAAAATAGACCCCGTTGCAGAGTTTCTTCCTGAGCGCTCGCTACCACTTTTGCCTGCTGGAAGCCATTTTTATTCCACAATGCTCCAGAATGATGCTGGACATTGTGAAGAACACAAAATGACAACTAAACCTCGGGGAAAAGAAAGAAAGAAGTGCTGCTACTGATAAATGGTCTCCAACTCTGAGAACTGGTGGAGAATTTCCCAGCCCCATTAAGAAATTCCATGAAATTGTCCCATTAATTTCTCTACCTCCATGCAGGGTAGAAACATGAAAAATCATTTGCCCACACTTCTAGGTTTCTTCCACTCGGCAGTGTCTAGACTGTGAAATCGAGTAATTGCTGAGATGCCAAGTCTGCATAATTCCCCCAGACACCATGAACATATTGTCCAATCAAGGACAGTGTGTATAGTAGGCCCACTTCTCCTAAAATACAACTTCCAAAACTTGTTGGAATTGGAACTGGAAGAACGAGGTGGGGTGGAATTCTGACCTGAAATGCCAAGGCCAATGCACTCAGAGACACACCAAGAAAACTGTAAGAACCATTTAACATCTGCTTCAGTGGGAACCCTGGCTGAACAGGGAGAGTTGTATGGAGACAGGCATTATTAGTCCAATTGTCGGGAGTTAGTTCTTCCAAATGAATAGTGATTGGCCTACAAGCAACAAGAGCTGCTGCTGACATTGGTAGTGAGAGGGCAGGTTCACAGGAGGAAGGACCTCTCGAGGGCATCTTGTCCAAGTGCCAAGACATGGTACAGTGAGCAACCTGCACACAGCCACAGAGAAGGCATATTTTGAGCGGCTGATAACATTCTAGAGTGGTTTTATTTTTCAGCTGTCTTCAAACAAGCATGCAAATTCTCATGTGTTAAGTCAGTTGTGACCAGGACTAGTAAACCAATATAACAGGTCACCTTCATACAGAGTAGAGCTTTCTGCAATGTGTCATAGATGAGGCAGCATCATGGAGACAAGAGAATTGGGATAGGCCAAGCATGTTGCCGTGAAGAGTTGGAGGCTTCAGGCTCCTTGAGGAATCCATGGATCTCAGCTGGCCTTGGCAGCAAGGCAAGATTTGTTGCCCCGTTATGCTCTTCCTCCCACCCTGAAAATCAGAGGCAGCTATGAGGATGGAGGGATTCCCAGTCATGCACAGTGGAGGAAAAATGTCCATTCCCATTGCACTAGGCTCTGGACACTAAGCATCCCATGTCTTCCTACCGCCTCTTCCATCTTTTTTTATCTGAACAAAGAAGGGAGTCCAGGAAGGAAAGATGGAACAGCGGCACCATGTCATTTGACTGGCCAGAAGCTAGGAGCCCTCCATCGTGAAGTCCATGGCAAGGCAGCAAGAGTTCCTGTGGCTCTCCAAGTGTCTCCACGGTTCAGTGCAGCATCAGGGAGCGCTCTGACCCTTGTCCTGTGCTCCAGAAGTCGTCTCAAAGGATCTTCGCAAAGGCACAGGGGAAGGCTGTAGGGTCCACTTGATGCAGTGCTCCAAAGAGTGTAGTTACGGCCCATCTCCTGCATGGATAAGCAGCCTTATCACCCTTGGTCGCTGCATTCCTACTTTAGCACAGGATCATGGAGGTCAACCCATGGGAAGAGTAGCAACAACTTCGCTCTGCTAGTATAAGAACTGGTCAGATTTTGCCACCTTGTGCCGTGCATTTTTATGCCAACTTGTATGCCTTTCAGAGACAGCAAAAGTTTTGAATTATGTTCTTGACTGCATTATGAGAATCCATTTTTCTGCATTCCACTTGTACTGTGTGTATCTAGTTCCTACAGAGATTTGCTTATACTTATGGCAAAGATCAGGCACTGGAAGGTCACCCAGCCAACTTGGTACTGTGGAGTGGTATGGATGCTATCAGTTTTATGGTGGCCCCCTTGACCCTCTGACATTTCAAAGTGGACAGACACCACCAGTAACACTCGCGTGCTATTGGAACATCTCTGTTTTCACACAACACATCACTGCTCACAGCACCATTATCCCTGCCTGATGTTTATGGACTCTGTCTGCTTCTCCCTGTGTTCACTCCTGAAGCAAAATCTATGTTTGGTTGGACTGGATGCTACCCTGGGATGAGAGAGAGAGAGATTTTGTGTCTCCGTGCATATGTGCATCACAGTCAAGGGGAAACTTCTAGGAGATTTGCAGAGGAGTCAAAATGGAAGGTATGCTAGTATGTGTTCTAACATTAAAAACATAGAAACATAGAAAACAGAGCAAGTCAGAAGGGGTCTCCCGGGCCATCTAGTCTGACCTCCGGCACCAGCCGGCTCCGCTCACGACATGCCCACCATGTGGACGTCCAGCCTATCCTCGAACAAGTTCTCCACGAAAGTATAGACAACACAGTAATGTCATTTTACTGAAAGCAGGTAGTCTTGCTATTTCATTTATATTATCTTCAGTGACCATACACTGTTCTCCATCCAACAAGAGCCCTGAGTGGTAAACATGAGGGGGGAAATTCAAAAGAAAATGATGTCACTAAAGCCATGGGTTGTCAAAGAGGGGCAGCTTCTTTAAATAAGCTGCATTCCGGCAGCATTAAAACAAAGCATTGTGGGAACCTGCTTGGCATCACCTGGTAGGAAAGTCCACAGAGAAGAGAGAGATTTTATACACGAAAGGCTCTACCCAGGGTGGACACAAAATAGAGGGCATGTCCAAGCAGAGGCACCAGAAACACATCATCTCAAGACCTCAGTGGCCGGGCAGATGAGGAAGAAGGCCCACTTTCAAATATCTCACCCGAGAGAAGTTCTGTACACCAGGAACAAAGTCTTAAGCCTGATCCAATATCAAATCGGTGGCCACTTTGACTTCTCGGAAGGGTTGTGTGGTCGTGTATGCATGGCCCAAGAAGAGCAATTGCATCGCCAGAAAGTGGCCATAAGGGGGTTCAGACCTGCATAGTATTTGCACATGCTAATGGAGATGTACAATGTTAGAAATGAAGGCCATAATTTAAACTGAAAAAACAATACATCTCACCATGGTGGGGACGGGTGAGACCAGACAACCTCACAAGATCTTCTGCCTGGGTGTCTTTCAAGGCTCCTACTTTTCCTCTTAGCTTTCTTAATCTTTAAACTGTACTTTGACTGGACAGGACTTTCAAACAGAGGACTGTCGTCTGCAATCCAGAAATCATGGCCACCTCAAGCAACTAACTCTTTAGTCATTTACCTGCTGAAACTTTACAGAGAAATGTCCTAGTAGGATACAAAATTTAAAGGAAATAGTACATTTTCCCATGATCACAAGAATGGCTCCAGATGCACATTAATAATCTACAGAAATCTGTAACCATTTATAATCATACAGTATTAGTCCCCTATCATGTCTGCACTCTTTTTCAGGGAAAATTATCTTCTGTTGCTAAGGTAATTTGAGATTTTCCTCCTCTCTTCTGCTTTGTATCCATCATTTATTCATTTTACACCAACAGGAACTATAGAGTCTATAAATACTTCTTACTTTATTATACCATGTGGAATTCTTAACTCTTCTGGCCAAATTTAAAGTCTCAAGACATATAATATATTTTTCTATTGAGAGCAAAAGATTTTA